GCCATGTATATTTCAGTGGAATCATCCAAAGTGCCATGCAAAAAGGCATTATCAATATCTAGTTGCCTGATGCTCCAATTTCTTGCCAAAGCTATAGAAAGAACTAACCTCACTGTCACTGGTTTAACCACTGGGCTGAAAATTTCATGAAAATCAATACCTGGAATTTGTGTGTAACCTTTAGCAACCAATCTAGCTTTATGCCTTGACACTGTCCCATTAGAGTTATACTTGGTTTTGAACACCCATCTGCAACCAATGGGAGTTCTTCCTTGTGGCAGTGGGACAACATCCCATGTCTTGTTTCTGATTAAAGCTGCATATTCCTCAGTCATGGCTTTCTTCCATTGTGGAAGAAGAAGTGCTGTGGTGAAATCTGTTGGCACATCTGCAATAAGGGAGCTGGGGTACACTTTGGGTTTAAAAATCCCTCTTTTTGATCTGGTGACCATGTGATGTTGGTTTTGGTTTGGTGCTTCAGCAATGGTGCTGGTATTTGTAGGAGCTTTATGTGGGGAAGGGATAGTGTTGGGATTTATAGGAGTGTTGTGAGAGGAAGGAGGAGTGGTTTGGTCACTGGTGTTGGTATTAATGGAATGTCACTACAAGAAATGTCAATTTTAACTAGACATTTACCTAGATCTTTGTAGGTAAAGTGCTTGTTGGTAAATTTTTGTCTAGCTATTTTATAGGTAAACAGATTTAGCTAGAAATTTTTGGATTTAGCTAGAAATTTTTGTCTAGTTAAAATTGACATTTCTTGTAGTGTGTGTATGTGAGGGGGTGGATGGAGGGCTGGTTTGAATGTCATTAGTGGGAATTGGAGTTGTGGTGTTGTTAGGGGATGTAGAGTTTGGAGAATCAAGAACAATATGTGGGGGTGGATGTGTGGAAGTCTGAGGTGTGTGCAAATTAGATTGCTCAGTTTGCTTAGAAATCATATAAGGTAACAAATTTTCATTAAACACTACATCCCTAGAAATTATAACTTTGTGATTTTTCAATAAAACCTTGTACCCTTTGTACTGGGAGCTATATCCCAGGAAAACTCCTTGTTGAGACCTTAACTCTAGCTTATCATGCACATAAGGTCGAAGGTGGGGGTAGGCTGCACAACCAAAGACTCTAAGGTGATTGTAATCTGGGAAATGGCCAAAGAGATGAGAGAATGGGGTTTTGAAGGAGATGGTTTTGTTTGGAATTCTGTTAATGAGGTACACAGCTGAACTAAAACACTCTTCCCAAAACCTTTTTGGCACATTGGACTGAGAAAACAAGGAAAGAGCAACCTCTACAATCTGTCTATGTTTCCTTTCCACTAAACCATTTTGTTGTGGTGTATGTGGGCAGGAAATTCTGTGATGTATCCCAGCTTCATTAAATAGGGTGGACAATGGTTTAAACTCTGTGCCTCCATCACTTTGCACCATTTTTATCTTGTGGTTAAGTTGATTTTCAACAAAGTTTTTGAAATGAGCAAAGGCTGTGAGGGTGTCTGATTTTTGTTTTAAGAAATAAATCAAGGTGTATTTAGAGTAGTCATCAATGAAAGCAACATAATATTGACTTCCTGAGGTGGATTTTATAGGGGCTGGTCCCCATAGGTCTGTGTGGATGAGCTGCAAGGGATGATGAGATACATGAGAAGATTGAGTGAAAGGGAGTCTGTGAGTTTTGGCAATAGCACAATCTGAGCAAAAAGGTATTTTATTATTGACATAAGGGAGATTACAATCATTCAAAGCCTTCCTAGTAACATCAAAAGAAGGATGACCTAATCTTTTATGCCAAAGCTCAATAGACTTAGAACACCTAGCAACATAAACCTGCCTAACAGGAACAGCAACATCATGCTTTCTCATAATAACAGACTTCCTAGACTTATCACTCAACTCTTGAAATTCTTCACTTCTGGACTTGACCCTATTAAGCTTGAAAGTGTATAAACCATCTCTAAGAATCCCTTTGAGAAGAACCTGACCTGAAACTTGATCCTTCACAGTACAAAAAGTAGGGAAAAATTCAAAAAACACATGATTGTCTTTTGCAAACTGAGCAACACTAATCAGATTTTTGGCTATTTCAGGCACATGTAAAAGGTTATTTAATTTGAAAGTGTGGTGTTTGGTGTGACAATTTGTTTGGCTGAGGAAAGAACCCTTACCAACATGAGAGATGTCTAATCCAGCACCATTTCCAATCTGCAGTTTGTTTTGACCCGAGTAATCTGAAGCCACACTTAAATTTGAGAAATCATTTGTGACTTGGTGAGAAGCACCTGAGTCTGGATACCAATCAATCTCAGGGTTGTTGTCCTTTGCAGCAAACATCACTGAAGACTGTGTAGAGCTTTTGTTTTCATT